GCAAAGAAACCGGCACCTCTGGACCGGAACAAGGAGACCAGCCTACACCACTGGGCAGGCTGCACAAATCCGTGGCTCAGAAGCCATGATGTTGTATGTCCATTTTAGAAGAAAAGAAAAAAAAAAAAAGAAGAAGGAGAAGAAGGTGAGGGCCGATCAAAACAATGGATGAAACAAACCCTTGCTCTGATACCATGAAAATGGCGAAGAAGAAGAAGAGAAGAGAGCGTCTTTAGAGAGAGAGAATACAGTGTGTCACTAGGTTTGACACACTTCTTCTATTTAAAATAGATAATCGTTTACATTAGATGGGCCAAGCCCTAAACACCAATAAACAACCATAAAATAATAAATAAAATAAAAAGAAAGAGAGAAGGGGGAAAGCCCACGTGACTTAACAGGTTTAATACTGAATTGGCAAATTGTCAAAATGTTTATGATTAAATTGGCCAAATTGCAGTAAAAAAAAATTTGGCCAAATTAAAAGGTTTATGATTGAATTAGCACAAGTGCAATATATTTAGGATTTTTTTGGTAATTTTCCCCCTTTTATAAGATGGACGAAGTTTTGGCATTGTTCACAAAAAAAAAAAGAATGTGTGATCTATTTCCTTTTGTGAGTCATTTGAATTTTGTAGGGTTAATACCATGAAAAACTCTAAACTGGTACACATATGACAAATTTACCCTAAACTAATTTTTGGACCACCAAAACCCCCAAACTAGTACACATGTGACAAATTTTACCCAAACTAATTTTTTGACCACCAAAAACCCCAAACCGGTATACTTGTGATAAATTTACCATTCGTTAGTTTATGTTAAATTGGAAAGGATAGGATGGCACAAATAAGATTTGATTGCCAGTGTTTGGCAAGGGCGGGGCGAGGGTGGCCCTTGCTAGATCGAGCAAGGATGACCCTCGTCCAGCCCTTCCCGGGCTTTGTCAGTCTTCAGCCATTGGCAAAGAACAAAGAGAAAACCAGAAAAAGGAAAAAAAAAAGAAGAAATAATTTAAAATTAAAATTATCTTTGGATGAAAATGGCCTTGACCAATGCCCTTGACCGACCAGAATATTTCGCTGACCGACAATCGGCGAGGTCAGACCTTTATTTGAAACTACCATGGCCAATTTACGCCACTATTTGAGACTGACATGCCACTTCAGATTCTTATTTGACACAAAATCTATTTCATGCCCTTATTTGAGAAAATGATGGCATTTCATGCTCTTATTTGGAATTTTTCCAAAACAATTTTATTGATATCTTATTTTTCATTTTTGCTGTTAACCGTAAGAGGAAACTGTTTATGAGGAATGCTTTGCAAAGTTAGAAAAGATGAAAGGCCAAGGATCTTTAATTCTATTTAACTCGGCACTTTTAATGCTTAAAGTTCGTTATTTGGCTAGCTTTGCGAAATTAAATCTGGGCGATAGTCGATGACCGCAATATTAGTATATTTACTTGACTCTGCATATTTATCAAAGATTATGCATATATTTATTTTGATAATGCATTTCCTTTATTGATTATATTTTGTATTATATTTATCTTATTACCTTAAATAGTTATCCAATAAAGTTTATAAATAAGCTTATGTACTCTTTATCAATATATCAAATTATATTGAAAATTTTCAACTCTTAGGCTGCGTTTAGTCGTCTGGATTTCTAGCCAGGATAGGACTGGATATGATAAGATATTAAATTCAAGGGATTTGATATATCTTATCTACTATTTGGTGAAGCGCGGAAATAAAGCCGAATATTTTAACTTCTTGTCATGTCTATTATTTGCTATGAACGTCATATCAATGTAAATGAATCTAAAAATTGCACAAGCGGAGATGATAAAAATCTCTCACGACACTCTTACCTACTTTCATTTCTATTTGCTTATTTTTTATTATTTTTCCTCTTTTTTTATTATTTTGTTTTTTTATTTCTTTTTTCCCCTCCATCATTCTCTAAGAAAATTTTATTAAATAGTAAACTATAATAATATACCTAAAATATGTAATAAATATATATTAGTATTGATTTATATATATCAAATTTATACCACACTAGATAAAGAAATTTTGAATATATAAATAAGAATAAGAATAAATAAAAACGAAAATTTTGTTATTTTTTTGTTATTTTGAATTTTTTTATATTAAAATTCAAATAATATTTATATTCAAATTTATTTTAATTTTATTAATTTAACAAGTTTGTTATTCGAGAAAATTAATTTTTATATTATGGAAATTAGAAATCCTATCCATTTTTATCCTACCTCCCCCATTGGATAATTTTATCCGAGTTATATCCCTCCTATATCCGACTTTATCCTATCTTGGGCAGACACTAAACATAGGATAGGATAAAATTTATCATATCCTGAATTTTATCCCAACTATCAAACGTAGCCTTATCTCTACATTATTCTGAACTTGGTATCATAGTTCGAAGTGCATCGAGTGCACTTCGCACCTTGTGCGCCCCAGTGCACCTGGTGCATCCCATAGCAAAATAAATACATACCTGCTCATAGTGTTCACCCAAGTGCCTCATTCGCGTTTGACCAATCGCCATGGTGGTTGTGTTACACATTCGCGACAGATGTATTTTTCGAGTCTTCATACACTCGAATTTTTTTTTTTTACATAACAAATGTAGGTAAACTTGGAAAACAACCAGGGAGGAAGGAAACAGTTTAATGTAAGAGACAAATGGCATCTATTGAAATAATGAAAAACAATAGTTCTGGACTATGTGAGAATAGTTTTAAGGTACGCTTGTAATCATAAATGCTATGGAAGAAGTCCTTCATGGAGAAAGTGCCAAGCTCCAGTTCCTGTTCCCTTTCTCCACGTACTAGTAACAGCGACTCATATTTCGACAAAAGCATTGCTCTTAGAGAGAAGAGTAATGAGACAATGGTAATAATAGAGGCCAAAACCACTATATATGCATTCGACAAAACCGTCATTCTTAGAGAGAATGAATAATGAAGCGATGGTAATAACGGAGGCCCAAACCATGATATATGCAGTATAGGCAAAATCTAACGCTCCAAAATTGACGCCGTCAAAGTCAAAAGCCAAGGAATTGATAGGTTGTGTAACTGCAACGAATGGAATGCCCAGAAATATTAGATGTTGAACATTGACATCTTTCGAGAATGCTCCAGATCTGAATCTCAGGCCAACACCAACAATCACAGTTGGATGGCATAGCATTGCATGATTTAATTGTTGAGAAGTTAGATTGCCTAGTAGTAAGCAGCACGTGTTAGCTCTATAGACAATCCTAGCTTGTGCATTTACAGAGACAGAATATGAGAAGACAAATGTGGCTACGTCTAAGGTATAATAGGCTTGGTGGATAGAGGAAACAAATGTCTTGATCACTTAGCTGAGTGCTATGCCATCCAACCGTGCAATGCTAGAGCCCACACGTGCTACTTACTACTAGGCATTCTAACTTCTCAACAATTAAATCACGTAGATGGGAATTGTTCTCGGCCTAGGGCTTGCTGTGATTGTTGGAGTTGGCCTGAGATTCGGATTTGGAGCATTCTCGAAAGATATCAATGTTTAACATCTCATATTTCTGGGCATTCCATTCGTTGCAGTTACACAAGCCATCAATTCCATGGCTTTTGTCTTTGATGGCGTCAATTTTGGAGCATTAGTATTTGTCTATACTGCATATATCATAGTTTTGTCCCCCATTATCACCATTGATTCATCATTCCTTCTCTCTAAGAGTGAAGATTTTGTCAAATGCATATATCATGGTTTTGGCCTCCCTTATAACCATTGTTTCATTATTCTTCTCTCTAAGAGTAACGGTTTTGTAGAAATATGAGTCGCTGTAACTAGTATTTGGAGAATGGGAACTGGAATTGGATTTCAGCGCTTTCTCCGAGAGGGACTTCTTTCACAACATTTATGATTACGAATGTACCTTAAAATTATTCTCACATAGTGGACACCACTTCCAGAACTACTGTTTTTATTTCAATAAATGCCATGTATCTTTCCTTCCTACTTGGTTGGTTTCCTAGCTTACCTACATAATTGATTGTTATAGAAAAATTACTTTTCGAGGCCATGAAGACGCGAAAAATACATCCGTCACGGATGTGTAACACGACCACTATGGCACTTGGTCAAATGCGAATGAGGCACTCGAGTGAACGAGGCGCATAGGGTGCAAAGTGCAACCGATGCACTTAAGACTCTGATACCAAGTTGAGAATGATGCATGAGCTGAACCCAACCTAAATACGTTTTTACATTTTTGTCAGTTCGTAGAAAATGGACTTCTTATGTTGGCAAGGGTGATAGTTCTCACATCCTATTCTATCCTTGTTGCCTCACCGGTTGCACGACTAGGTTCAACACCTATGGCTGCATTTCAGCTATGCTTACAAATTTGGACGACATCATCACTTATTGCTAATGTTTTGGCTATTGCTGGACAGGCAATCCTAGCATGTGCATTTGTGAAGAAAGATTATGAGAAGGCATAGGGTATTACAGGCTTAGTGGACAGTTGACACAAATGTTCTGATCACTTACCTGGGTGATGTGACATCCAACCGTGCAGTGCCCGTGAAGACGCGTCTTTGTAAAGTAACTTTTGCTCAGCAATGGCTAGTTTATTTTGCTTGCTAGCCATGTCAGTTGTATCGGCTACCTTGTTAAGTTATTGTTCCAACAGCAAAGTCGACCAAAGGACACATGTTGTTGGCCTCTGATTCTCGACTTTTCATTAGCAAGGGTGCATTAGATTCCTGAGACAAAAACGACATAGCAAACTTAAGCTCTACTGTTGGATTAAAAAATTTCACGGGCAACTGTGTTCGCACAAGTTAAGAAAGGGTTTTTCAAACTTTCTTCTAAGATTATAAGCAGCGACAAATTTTGTCTTCCAAAATTTTCCTGCACAACCGAAATCTACATATGAACTTGTGATACCAAAAATGACTTCGAGTATTTGCTCACCTGCAATGTCTTGCCATCAGGAGCTGTATCCTTGTCATGGAAGCACCATCAATCAACTCCAAGTTTCTTCAAGAACTGAAAGTTGGCCCTCACTGTTTTGTTCATCGAATGCAGAATAAAATCATAAGGTGTCACCACTGATTCCTATATGCAATCCAAACTAAAATATTTTCCAAACTGAAACACAGTTATTGAGCACTTCCTAGATAAACAATTCTTACTTCTCCTTTTGGCCATAGCCAAAGCATTCGTGCCATCCTCCCGGGGCCAAAACTTTGTGGCAGCACCAAACGGGTCACCTCCTGTTCCCCTGAACGTGTGCCAAAAGGCGAAGCTGAATCTTAGCCAATCCTGCAAGCACCAGCCAGCTATCAAAATTTGTAACCTGCCCAACTGATCTGCAAAGTAAAAAAAGAAACCAAGGGAAAGAAAAAGAACCCACCTTCATTTTCTTGCCTAGTATCTCCTCTTCGGCATTATTCCCACTTATATGCTAGTGGGTTCTTCTTGCATGAATGACCCTAAACGGGAAACACGTCATACAAATTGAGAGTCTCAACCAGCAGGCACTTCCAACAGTATATAACACAGTTCAAAATTAGACTTTGAGTTCTCAAGCAAAATTACTGAAAGTTCTTTCAAGTTTCAATATATACCACAACATAATCATATTTACAACTTTAATCTGCAAGTGGTAGCCAAAACAAAACACGATCTTCCGTGAACTTTTGCAGGCCCTAACCCGAAGTTGATTAAGTAAAATTGCAATGAAATCGAAGCTAAGCGGAACTTTTCTCCGCCGAAAAGCCTCACCTCATACTTAGTGTTAGGAATGCTCGGGAAAAATTCTCCTTTCCAATCATCAGCATCACCACGTTCATCACCAACGTCAGTGGCAGGGCATGTCGGCGTAGCCAATCTGTTTGCATAATCCAGCCCGAATCACAAACATATAACCGGAAATTACTTCAGTTTCAAGGAGGTCAAATTCAAAAAATCAAAAAACACAAGACAACGAAAAAAAGAGGAACTTTGCTTTACCACTCCAGCTATAGTCAGACTAGTACAGAGAAGAAACGAAATCACCCATTATCCGAAATTGCATTTACAATCAATCCAAATCGAAACAAACAAACCAAAAAAGAAAAAACGAAATCACCCATCATCCGAAATTTCAAAATCAGCAACACCCAAAAATCATCAGATATGTAAGCAAACACATTTACATCATCATCGACACAAACAAGCAGCAGCAATTACACTGATCACTCGGGATCCTCAGCATCTAACGTCTAATGCATGCATAGGAAATTAACTCACAGTAAAAAAAAAAGAAAAAGAAGTAGAAAAATCAAGCGAAGAACATTTACAGTAAACTAAAGCTTTCCCCGGACAGCCTTGGCCTTGCGAAACTACGGAATCAATCAATGCCTCTCGAAAAACGAACACTGCTTATGCGGCAGTGGGAAAGATGATGTATTTATACGAAAACAGCATGAACCCAGGAAAATCGTACCGGAAATCGAATTGGGTCGACGGAGATATTTTCGAAAAGGTCGAGATTGATGCGTGGGCTTACCAGAAAGTTAGTTTTAGACCGAATCTGTCGCGCTTTTTGCTAACTATGTGATGATGACGACGATGATGGGTGGACAGATAACATCGTATCTAATGACCTGTCATCGAAAATGGGAAAGAATAACGAAATTAAAAATAGATAAATAAGATAATATAAAAGTAAAAATTAGTATTTGTTCAATGCTGCAGCAGCGGCGGCAGCAGAGACTTCAACTTTTCTGAAAATTAAAGGGTGAAAATAAAAAGGGAGAGAGAAAAATATTTTAAATTAAAATATAAGGAGAACGAATTTGATAAGGACTCCTCACGAGATAAAAACTGCTGAGTCATTATTTTTCACACTCCCAAATTGAATTGAGGGTCAAATGTGGATAAGATATCCGGACTTATTATAGAAAAAACATAGGATTAGGATTAATTATGGATATTACCCAATTTAAAAGATCCCGATCCACTATCGAATTGCCGAAAAAGTTCTAAACTTATTACACTTGTGCTAATTTAGTTCTAAACATTTCGTTTTGGCCAATTTAGTCCTACATTTGCCAATTGAGTTGCTCCAATCAATTTTAGCTAGAAATTGCCGACATGGATGCCAGTCGTTATACGTGGCACAGCTGATGCTAATATGAACAATTTAAAAAAATATTGAATTTTTTTTTGAATTTTTTATTTCTTATTTTCTTTGCCTTTTTTTTTGGTTTTGTGGCCAACAAAGTTGGCAAGGGCTTTCGTGGCCTCGCCAACAACAGTGGCATAGAGAGGAGTCCTAGTATCCTTGAAGCCTCAAAACACGCCTTGCATTAAAAAGAAAGAAGAAAAGTAGGAGCCCTAGGAAATATTGCATTATATCTGATACTTATTTATGTCTGTCATTTGGGTGTCAGTGGTGCTGCAATTGCGCATGTTATTTCTCAATGCTTATAAAACAAGTTGATCTCTTACCTCGGAGCCTTAAAGATTTACATTTTCATAAGTTCTCCGAGCCTTGAAGATTTACATTTTTGTAATTTCTTAGAGAATGAACTTCTTATGTTGGCAAGGGTGATAGCTCTCACATCTCGTGCTACCCTTGCCGCTTCATTGGCTGCACAGTTGGGTTCAACACCTATGGCTAGTTTGGATGACATCATCACTTATCGTTGATGGTTTGGTTATTGCTAGACATGCAATCCTAGAATGTGCATTTGCGGAGAAAGATTATGAGAAGGCAATTGTGGCTATGTCTAGGTATTACAGGCTTAGTGAATAGTGGATACAAATGGCCTGGTTACTTAGTTGGGTGCTCATGTAGTGTCCATGAAGAAGCGTCTTCGCAAAGTAACTTTCGCTCAACAAAGCCTGGCTTATTCCACTTGCTATAGCCACGCCAGCTGTACCAACCTCGTTTCTTCAGTGACGGTTTCGACAACAGTAGACCACAAAGGACATATGCTGTCGGCCTCGGATTCTCAACTTTTCACTTCTTGTCTCGAGAAGCCGACATCACCACCAAACTCGCCACTGTGAGACGAGCAATATAGTGAAATCTTGTCGTCAACGGAAGCTTGGAGCCATGACATGCACCGCCCCACCTCAGATCCATTGAACTCCTCTTTCTCGCTCACTTATCTCATGACAATCGAAGATTTTATGACATTGTTCGGATTATTTTTCAAACTCAAGTTGGTTTGTTTCAACTCACCTTGCGTTTGAGGGGATGCTAGCGATATTAGGATATTTACTTGATTCTGCATATCTCTCCTAATTCTACATATATCTCTTTTGATAGCATATATCCTTGATTGATTATATTTGGTATTATGTTTATCTTGTTACCTTAAATAGTTATCCAATAAAGCTTATAAATTGGCTCATGTACTGTTTATCCATATATTGAAATTTCTCAATTCTTATCTTTCATATTATTCTTAACTTCATTTAATCAATTTCCATATTAGTCTATAATACCAGCTCATTAAATGACAAAACCATGGAGGTTTAGGATGAATTTTAGGGAGAGTCCCTATTGATGTATGAGTTTGCATAAGTTCCCATGTGGGTTTGCACATGAGAGTTGGGGAACAATTGCACCTTCTCACCATAACAAGCATCTAGATCCAAATCATAATACATATGCTTGCAACTCCACCTACCTTGCACTAAGTCAAAGGCTCTCCCTAAGTTGATTGTTATCCTCCTCTAGTTCATGTTCCCTCTTAGTAATTAATATATTCTTCTGATTTCTATATTTATTTCCTAACCCATATGTAAGACCAAATTGAGCAGTGACCCCTCTGCCATTTATAAGATGATACCTTGTATTTTGCCATTTATGAGATGTAATTGCTTCCCACTTAAGAGCTATTTTTTTATCCGCCCAATCAATTTATAAGAAATTGTTAAGACTATAAAAAATCTAACCAGGATCAATTTCAAAAGTTTTTTTTAGAATGAGGAAAAAGAATATGAAATCCTTGCTCTTGTAATAAATTAGTAAATATAACTGAAAGATCTAATTTGAAATTCTAGTAGACTTTAGTTTAATCCACTCATAAAAATTTCCATTAATTTGGAAGTTAAATTACACAAAATTTCTGTTTTTGTTGGCAACATCTAATGTAAGGCAGCTCATTGTACTAATTTTTGGGAGGGGGAGATATTGAGATTTACATGGATGGAAAGAAGACATGAGATATGGGATTGGATGATGCAATGACTCAAGTTCGTTTGATTATCGAAATTTTATTCGAATAGAAAATGTAAATGATTTAACTCGACTCTGTTGCAATCTATTTAAGAGCTTGATTTCAAAGCTCAAACAAATTCGTATAATATATGTGTATGCACATGTGGTATGTACTCTTAGGTTGTATTCACTCGTATGAATTTCTAATCAGAGTAGGATTGAATAGATATAATATGACATGAAATTCAAGAAAATCATAAAAATAAGATAAATAATCATGGAAAAATGGTAAAAGAGTAACTCCAAAAATATAATTTTTTTAATGGAAACTCTACTAACAATTATATGGATGAATATTGGCCGAAATAGTTTACGACAATCTTTTCAATGTTAATATTACAAAAGTGGATGGAAACCTTGCTGAAGGGCCTCTATCACCAAGTACGAAGGTACAGAAGCATATGAACAGTTACAACACCAACTATTACGATCTTTCGATTTGACTAAATTTTTAAGATACATATAAACTATCCCGTCGACATAAATTTTGTAAATCAATTTATCTTTTGATGTATTTGTATATTTCTTTTGGTAGTATTGATGGGGGAAAAAGATTTTAGGGTCTATCGATTCTATTTTCACCAAATGCCCCTATGGCAAAAGTATTTTCCTACCACATCCTTAGATTAAAAAAAAAACAAATTTGAATAAATTCATTCTGTTCAGGTAGTCTTGGTGTATATTGAATGGAGAAAATGAAAATGAAAGGTACCGATCACTTCATCATTATTAATCTCAAAGTCAAACAATTTTAATCTCACTGGTTTTCCTTTTCCTCTTTTTTTTTTTTTAGTTTGGCAAACACCACTAAGATTCTTTGGAGGGCCAATCATTCCCACTCAATGTCATCGGTCCACTTAGTATACAGAATAATCGAATATGCTTGACCTGGACATTCAATATCATTCCAGACATGCATGATAGTGTTGACCAAATTCATTACGCTTGTGTCCTCATTACTCATGGGTTTGAATGTGTACCAATTTGACATGATTGATAGGCGGGTCCGGCTTAACTTGGGTTTGGTATACGAAAAAGGTCTAGGCGTCGGGATTGAGAGCGTCAAGTACAATGCCGGACCGGCCTAAATCAGTGGCCCGCCTAGACTCGTCCATATCGAGGAAAGAATAAATTCATGGGACCTTTCCCCGCCCGATAGACCTAAAGTCATTGTCATACTTGCCCCATGTATTCTTTCTATCAAATGCACCGCGCAGCAGGGGCGAGACAAAAAAGTCTTCCAATTTCATGCAAAGTTGGCTAGAATATATGTCGAACATGTCATCTGATTCATTGATTAACTATGTTAACATGCAATCGAGGAATCAGAGGGCTCAAATCACGTAAAAAAACGTTCGAACAAAAGGAAAAGAAAAAAAAAATTGTACACAACATTTTAGGATAAGATCAGTATAAATGTCATTACTTTCATAAGGTGCTCACTTCAGCATTATAATTTTTTTTTAATCACTTAAGTGTCATAACTTTTAAAAACCATACACTTGAGTGCCACAACTGATCACTTGAATGCCATAACTTTTTAAAAATATTCACATAAGTGCAGGAAATCCGACGTGAAAGTTTTCAAATATTTTTGGTACTCACGTGATCGATTGAAAAATTATGTAACACTTAAGTGATGAAAAAAAATTATTATCCTCAAGTAAGTGTCATACATAAGTTATAGTACTCTGAAACGAGCATCACGCACAAAAGTTATGGCACCTGAATTGTTTTCCTTGGCATTAATGCTGATGGCGTGACTTTTGCAATTCCACTTGTGCCCCCTTGCTAATGATATTCATCAGCCGCACCCCCGCTATAAATACGTTCGAACTGGCTCTCCTTCTTCTCCGTGTCTTGTTCTGCGTTGTTTGACCCATCCTGAGAAAACTCGAAAACCAAAGAAGAAGAAGAAGAAGAAGAAGAAGAGAGAGAGAGAGAGAGAGCAGATGTCTCCGAGAGTCAAATGCCTCGCCCTCTTGGCCCTCCTCGCCGCCTCCTTCGCCGCCGTCTCCTCCGCCGCGCGCCCCGACCCGGCGTCCCGCGGCGCCGCTTCGGCTTCGACATGGACGACGACGCAGCCTCAGCCTCAGGTACCACCTCCCTCCTGCTTTTTTAGCTCCTCGAAGTCTATTCGGTTTTCTCGAGACCACGTCGATCCGTCGCGAGATGTCCGCTCGTTCGTTTCTGATCTTTTACCCTTTTCTTCTTGTCGTCTCCGCGCGCGTGTTCGAAGGTGGTCGGTGAAGACTGCGGCGGCGTCGGCGGCGGCGGCGGCGGAGGAGGAGCAGAGGAGCGCTTGATGCGAAGAACCCTAGAGGCTCACCTCGATTACATCTACACCCAGAATCACCAGCCTTGAGAAGCCCATTTTCATTTTTTTTTTTTTTTTACTTCTTTTTTTAAGTTTTCATTTCTCAATTTTTTTTCATTTTGTGATATTTTCTTTCCAAATTCATGTTTTTTTATGCGAATTAACGGAATCAAATCAATGGGAGGCTTGCTTGTTACTGGTGGTGTCATTTTCTTTTCATTTTATTTTAGGATTATATTGCATATTCATAGACATTAATTTAATTTTCGGGTACGAGAAAAGTAAGGCAATTATTAGAAAAGGTATAAGTAAAAAAAAGAATTTTATTGTTTACTTTTTTTTTTCTTTTGCTGGTAACCGTTAAAGAAGACTACTTGTGAAGAACGCTTCCAAAGTTGCAAAAGGAAAATGGCCAAGACTCCTTTAATTCTAATTTTTTTTTTGGCAAAGTAAGATTTCATTCATTTACACCGAAATATAAAAGAAAAATAACGCAGTCCAATCCCAGACAACTTCAAAATAAAACAAACTCCAGATAATAAGATGAATCATCATAAAAATATTAGGAGTCAGCCGCTCAAAAAGTAAATCAATGACTTCTTCAAATCAAATTTGGCGGCCGATCACTGAATCCATCTTAAGTAGTAAGCACACACCGAGATTTCCATTTGTTGCTACGATTTTGCCCCGGCGTCCCCAACACCATGACTGTTCAGAGCAACAAGTTGAATGAGCACATATATGACACTTGTGAAAGCGAAACCTTCACAAAAGTCCTCCGATATCCTTTGAAACTGGACTTGTACACCAACAAAATTCAAGGAAAGCGAAACCCTGAAATCATACATGCAAAAATCCCAAAAATTTAGACTAGATTGGGATATAAATGAGCAATGAGCTCCAGTAATCAATCCATGATTATTGTACGATGTAAACCTTAAACAATATTCGACCAAAAAAAAAACCTTAAACAATAAATGAGCTCATTACAATATTCCAAAGCCATAGGTTCAACTATGACAAGAAATGTAACAAGTGATAGTGACATCAATGCCAAATCTAGTAAGAGAGAGCAAGCATGATCATTCGCTCTCGCGATTATGAAAATATAGTGTTTTGACTTTTTCACCACTTTCATGAACAAACCAAAGAGCTACAGACAAAAAGAAGCTTCAACTCTCTTATTGTTTTCGTGAACCTTCAACGTGAACCAAAGAGTTATGGAATACGAGAATTCTGACTCTCTCGCCGTTTTCATGGAGTTTCAACGTGAACCAAATTGTTACGGAGGAGTCGTGAATCTTTAACATGAACTAAAAGCTATTTTGTTTTGTTATTATGAATTTTATTTTTATATATAGAATTAATTATTTATTTATTATTTTAATTTATTAATTTAAGAAGTTTGTTATTTAAGAAAATTAACTTTTATATCTTGGACATAAAAAATCCTACCCACATTTATTTCACCCTTACATGGAATATTTGTATCATAGCTATATCACTCTTATGTCCAGTCTTATCCTAACTTGGATGGAAACTAAGCATAGGATAGAATAAATGTTTATCTTGTTTATCAAATGTAGCTTTAAGGATTTTCGTATCTAGTTTTAGAAGTATTAACTTTTTCTTGAGAAAATAGTAGATGCTCGATTAGGCTCACAAAGCCTGTTGAATAAATTTTAATCATATTTACTAAACGTAGATTTAAGAATTTTGGTATCTATTTTTAGAACTATAACTTTCTCTTGAGAAAATAGTAGATGCTGGATTAGGCTCGCAAAGCCTGTTCAGCTTAGTATTGACAAGCATAGGGTCAACTCAATTAGATATATAAATAGCTTGAGGTCGAACTCAAAATCAGAAAAGTCAATCCCCATCAACTGTCGAGTCCAGTCCGTTTCATTTGCCGGTAGGGGATACGCATGACAACTTGCCAAACAAATGTTTGATTGATTCTTTCTTTTGTTCCCGAATCGGTTTGGGAACAAATGCGTTTGTTTAATTTTTTGATTCTGGGCACAATTTTGTCAAAAATTGTTCCCAGAATAAGTTTTCAAGAATAAAAAAAAGTAGCTTCTTGATTCTAGGAACAATTTTGAGAATCAATTTTTTTTCTTCTTCCTTTTCTTGATTTTTAATGTAGCTTCTAATGTCCGGTCCGAGAACCGCCCTCGCCGGATCTGACGAGAATAAAATATTTTAATAAAAAATATTTTACCGACCATGGCCGGCGACCAGGCCATGGCCAAAACAAATATTAATAAAAAAAATAGTTTACCTGCCATAGCCAGTGACCATGCCATGGCAAAAAAATAAAAAATATATATTTTTAATAAAAATATTTTAATAAAAAATATTATTAATAAAAAAAATATTTTACCGGCCATGGCAAAAATATATATATATATTTTTAATAAAAAAATATTTTACCAGCCATGGCCGGCGACAGGGCCATGGCCAAAAAAATTAAAAATATATATTTTTAATAAAAAAAATATTTTACCAGTCATGGCCGGCGACCAGGCCATGGCCAAAAAAAAGAAAAAATACTTTTAATAAAAATATCATTAATAAAAAAATATTTTACCGGTCATGGCCGGCGAGCAGGCCATGGCCAAGAAGGAGGAAAAGAAATAAAGAAAAGAAAAAAAAAGAAAGAAATATTAAAATATTTAAAAATATTATTAATAAAAAAAATTTGTGGCGTTACCAAACGCATTTCTGTTCTTTTTCTATTCCAGGGATGGAATTTTGGGCCGTTAACAAACGCCTTAAAATGCTCAGAATCAATTCCGAGCATAGAATAAAAAAGAATCATTTCTGAGCAGAATCTGTTCCCGGGCACATAATCGTTGTCATGCGTAGCCCTAGGTTGACTCGAATAATCCCATTTACCTTCGTAAGTATCGGTACGGAAATCGTAGAAATAAAGTAAATAATCGTGAAAAAATGATAACAGAGTAACTCCGAAAATATAACATTTTTTTATGGAAACTCTACTAACAATGATAAGGATGGATATTAGTCGAAATAGTTTATGACAATCTTTCAAATGTCGACATTAACAAAAGTAGATGGAAAACAAGCCGAAGGAACTATACCATCAAGCACGAAGGTACAAGGACTATAAACATTGATTACACAAGCTATTCAAATTTTCGGCTCAACTAATTTTTCAAAATATACGTAAGCTATCCCATTGACATGAAATTTGTAAATCAACTTATCTTTCGATCTACCCATTTATCTTCTATTTGTACTTCTGATTAGGTCTATCAGTTTTATTTTTCCCAAATGCCACTATAGCAACAATATTTTCCTATGTTATCCTTAGATTAAAGAAAATAAAAGTTATGCAATCTTCCCAAATTTTTTTTGGGCAAAAACCACTAAGATGCTTTGGAGGGCCAATCATGCCAGCTCAACGTCATCGGCCCAACTTAGTTGCTGGAATCATTTACTATGGTTTGACCTCGACATTCAAATATTCTTCCTGATGTCAATGATGATGTTGACCAAATTCATCATGCGACGGTCCTCATGACTCATGAGTTTGAATATGTAGCAAATAGACATAATTACTGCCTATTACGCATGGTGCATAATCCAGAGCCGGTGCGCTCCGATTGCATACTCTATGCAAAATCCTCGACGACAGTCGTTAAGAGTACTCTTGGAGATACTGAAATCTAGATCGCAAATTCGATTCATATAGCAAAGTGCTAAACCATGACGTTAGACTATATCTCGAAGATTGGTTAAGCAAGGCCTATCGAAGCACCCAAAGAGAGTCTGTCGTGGTTCGTATTCCGGTTCGGCGGACCGGCCTTAGTATCTCCGAGGAAATACTCCAATCTCAAGAGAGATTTGGTGTGATCCCTTGACTCCTAATCCATGTCTAGACCAGGATGAGTGGAGATGGGCCCAAAAGCCTTTGGAAGTGGTGGCTCAACTGGCCAATCCATTGACTCCACCAGCATCAAACTTGTATTCTCCAACCCTTTTTGGTGGGCCAAATGTGTCATTCTCCAAGTTGGAATAGCCCTTCATGATTACGAAGTTCCTAGAACCTTTTGGGGGTCGCCTTTATAAATTAGATTTCCTATCCTTCTTTCTTAGTATTGGATCTAATTAAAAAAAGTGTACCTTGAGCACTTATTAACAATCAAATGAGGAAATAGTACAATATGAAGTCCTTATGATATGCATAATCAATGTTTTGAGAATCGAATATCTCTTTTTTAACATAAATTTATAAATTGTCTCAAGGGCACTCGTGAAAAAGACCATTTAGCAAATGACATCACAGTTGCCGCTATAATCGCTAGAACTTTGGCAATTCTCGTGCTTTCGCGAAATTGTGAAAACACCTACTCATAAAATTTGATTTAGTTCGTTTGTTTTGACTTCTGAAAAAGTCAAACTCAATTTTTTTTAATTTTCCAGTCAAAATTTAAAATATTATCTAAACTTTTACATAAATTATGGAAACATTGTAGGTGAATCTAAGTGCCAAACTTTGTATGTTGTGAAAATTTCAAATATCGAACATTAAAAAAAAAAAGTCAAACCACATGCTCCATAAGATTGCAAAAAAAAAAAGTAAAAAAGGCTTCGTTATTTCGTGAAAATATTTTTCGGAAATACATTTTCCTCATTTTCCGGCATTTGGTTAGCTTAGGGAAATGAGTCAACTGAAAACCTATGCTTAAATTCAGGAAAATAATTCCCTCTTTGAAAAATCGAAAATTATTTTCCAAAATATGACTAGGTATGAGCGCTTAGATTTGAAACTCGACATTTGGGCACAAAAACCCTAACGCTAGTTCTCGAGTCCTTGACATCTAAGACCAGGTCTATGGCACCTAGGCCTGGATCCATCAAGGCTAAGGCCGAGCTCGGGACTCCAGTGTCCCCAGCGCCCATGTTGGGGTCCATCGTGGTTGGCCTCGAAATCCCGGTGCCCGTGTCCGATGCCCCAGCACCCAAGCTCGGGTCCACAAAAGCCAAGCGTAGGATCCCGATACCTGAGCTCGGATCCCTAACACCTAAGCCCGTGTCCACAGAGGCCGTGCCTGGGTCCACAGAGGCCAAACCTCGGCCCAAGATCTCGGTACTTGTGCTCAGGTCCATCAAGGTTGCGCCTGGGACCAGGTGCCTGTGCCCGCGCCCTGATCGCCGATGCATGGGTCG